GGGGATTCTGTGGCACTGATAACTAACTCCCCGCTGGCCTTTTCCACGTGTGAGAGCGGGACCTGATTGCTGTCAGCTTCGTGTAGCAAACACATCCCAGGAGCAGTGGGTTTAGATTGGCCTCCTCTGAGCCTGGGGTTTTGTACAGATATGTGTTCCTGGGATGTCACATTTTCCTCTGTAGATCCTGGGAGGTTATTTGTCTGATAGAACCCACAGAGCCAAACACGGGCTCAGGTCTTTCTTGAGTATTATGTAGGTCATCCAGCTTCAGGCGAGTGAGTTTCCCTGTTGGTTTGGTCAGACATTTTCAGTGGGGCAGAAACTGGACAAGATATCATGGCACCAAGCTTGAAACCACACCCCTAGAAAGAAAAATTCTGTAAAGTGAAAGAATTTAGTGATGTCCGTGCAATTTCTGGGTTTGAAGAAGACACTGTCACTGGAATAGATGTGTTGAAATAGGCAGCGTGAATTCGTGTGATCTTTTGACTTCTTTATTTTAAAAACTGAACTTACTGTCAGCGAACCAAAGGCATTTCTTAGTCACCTGGGCAGAGCTAGTGGGAATTTCAAAAGTGGATTGGATATTTTACACACAGTCCAATATAGAGTAGTTTATAGATCTAGAGATGAACGTTTCATATTTGCCTAATAGGTCTTTCCTCGACATCTTGGGGCATCTGTTGGACATCACTGCCTTGGGTTTTCTGGGGCTGGGCTCCTTCCTGGGGAGTCGTTGTCTTGAGTGTTTGGGCCAGTTCCCGCTCTGCCCACCCTCTTCCACCCTCTTTTGCAATGTGTCATCCATTGTTCCACATTTCTAAAAAGAAAGCGCAGGCCAATTTTATTTGTAAATGTGTTACACATTTTCTTATTGGTGACTCAACAGATGTGTCATTGTATTACACAGAACTTGGGATTTCCAGCGCGTGTTGGAAAAGTATAGCTTTCTTCACATATTTTCCTTAACCAGCTGGGCAGTGATGAATCAAGGCCTTACCTATTACTTATTAACGAGTTTTACATTAAAGGCTATTTCTTTGATAAATGCTAGATGATCAGAAATCGACAGCGTGAGGTTTTATCTTGCTCTGTGTCTCTCTCCACTCTTTTCCCTTAAAACTGTAGATAATTTCACTATTACCTGCTTCCTTTGGAGATCTTTCCCCAAAGATGATTGGGGGGGAGGGGGATGTTCTTTTTAATACTCTTTACTTTTATAAAATTAAATCTTAAGGAACTTTCTCAGTGTGTTTTACTATTTTCTGAACCATCGGAAATGATGAAGAAAAACACCTAGTTTCAGTTAAAGTGTCTCATTGTAAACATTTAAAAATAAATGCTCCCAGAGATCTTTTTTTTCATTGCTTGATTTTCAGTTTCATTCCATCATTTGCCTTTCGCTGTAACTGCGGTGACCTGAAACTGCCTTGCCCGGGGTCATTTTCCTTACACACGTGGCCTGACCGAATTTCTCTCCTAGGATGTCGCTAATAGGCCAGGTGTTTGGACCAGGTGGGCTCTGAGGCCCCTCCCAGAACTGTTCTTCTGGGATTCTAGTATTTTTAGGTTTGATTAGTTAATTTATTAAGTGGATTAGGCCATTAAAAATAAATCCCCAGTCGTCCTGACTCTTGAGGGAGACTGAATGGCCCGGAGTGAAACCGCTCCTTTCGGTGGCTCACGTGGGCCAGCCTAGACACCTCTTGCGTGCGGCTGGCCCATTCCAGGTGTGGCCTCTCGATGGCCAGCTTAATCGGGGCAAAGCAATGAGATTGCCCACGGACCACTTTGAAAACAGGTAATTAAGTAAATAAATATATTTCTGCTTTCTTTCTGTCCCTTCTTGCAGCGACAGCCAGCCTTCGACACCTTTGATGGGTCCCTGTTTGCCATATTCCCCTCCCTGAATGAAAAGCAAGCTCTCCAAGAAGTGCCCACAGGCTTGGATTCCATTTCTCACGGTAATTGCTACCCCGAAGGACACACTGTGCATGATGGCCCAGAGTAACCCAGTGAATAAGGACAGTCCATGATCAATGAGTGTTGGTATCTTGAGTCTTTGGTGTAAAAAGTCAGGTGGAGGCTCAACCTGGGACAAGACAGTTTTCCCATTTGATGAGTGTGATGATTCTGGTGGCTTCCCTGCCAGACGCACCCCAGGGAGAGCACATCTCCCGCTCTTGGCACCCTGCAGGGGACCCTGAGATTTCCATCAGGGTCTTTTCACCCTGGTGGCTCCCAGGTCCACCCGGCAGAGCAGAACAGGGCACAGGCAAATGCGTCGCGGCTTTTCATTCTGGGCTCGCAGTGAGCTCATCCCTGGAGTTTGGGGGCCACAAATGATTCCTGCTTGTTTTCTACGCATCCCTGTTGACTTTCACACTTCTGCACGTCCTTGTTTGTTCTTTATAAAGGACCAGCACGTCAGCGATGCCTCCGCAGTGACTGGGATTGTTATTAGTTGGAAACATTCCAGACGTGACTTTGTCATGTGAAGTAGGTGCTAGAAATTACGGCCCAGAAAATTAATTGAAACGCGCACTGGCGTCAGCATGCCTTCGTGTGACAGTCATTTATCATTTTTTAAATGGCTGAGGGAATCCAGAGAAGACAGTTTTCAACAAAAATGGAAAGTGGGCCAACTTCACAGGGCTCAGGGCTGCCTGTAGCCGGCTCCAGTCTCCACCTGCTGCTTAGTTTACTGGAATCGACTTCCGAATTATGTATTTGCAACCCCTTAAGAATTTGGGCCAAGAATCATGCCATTTTTTTTTATTATCTAGTTTTCAGATAGCTTTCAATAGACATTTTGCCTAGGCATAAACTGCTGTGTGAAATTTTGCATCATAAGAAAAAACTTGAGTTTGATTTTATTTTAGATTTTTTTAAATAATTGAAGATATGGGATGTGTAATTTTTTAAAATCTCAGTCAAAAGTATTTTAAGGGGGTAACACTGATTCTCTTAAGGAATTATGTCAAGGTTGAGATCAGAATTGTTCTTTCTAAAAGCTGACGCTCCTCCCCTGGATTCTCCCTCTGCTATTGCCAGCTTGTCCTAACGTCCCCGGGTTTCTTTCTAGACTCGGCCAGCTGTGAGTTGCCTCTGCTAACTCCCTGCAGCAAGGCTGTGATGAGTCAAGCCTTGAAGGCTACCTTCAGTGGCTTCAAAAAGGAGCAGCGCCGTCTGGGCATCCCCAAGAGTAAGTGCCTCTTTGTAGAGCTGCTTTTCTGAGCCTGCCCCATACTAGATGAACGAACTTGACTGCCACGGCTCCAGATGGGTTATTTAAAAAAAAAACACAACTCTTGTTTAAGACGGCTCACAAAGCGTGGCAGAGATGGGGTTAAGCTGAGCCACTTTTTATTGCAACCAGTCACCTGCACACTCCATCCAGCACTTAGAATTCCCCCGGGTGGCTCGCTCGTTTCATTGGTCTTCGGTGCACGTGTGGACCTGGGGGTAAATCAGGAGCGACGACTCTGGTCTCACTCCCTCCTGCCTTTTTCCCTCTGTTCCACCTCTTCTTCCCTCCCCGTAGACCCCTGGCTGTGGACGGAGCAGCAGGTCTGCCAGTGGCTCCTCTGGGCCACCAACGAGTTCAGCCTGGTGAACGTAAACCTCCAGAGGTTCGGCATGAATGGCCAGGTGTTGTGTAACCTGGGCAAGGAGCGTTTTCTGGAGCTGGCACCTGACTTTGTGGGCGACATTCTCTGGGAGCATCTGGAGCAAATGATCAAAGGTACCAGGCGTGGGAGGGAAGAGCGGGCCACCGTGGGGTCAGAGTTTCAAATGATGTCAGTTGCCTGAAAATGCCACTGGAGTGAGTCACATATGTGGCCGAGATTATAGATTTGAATCCACTAAGCGTGTGTGTGTGTGTGTGTGACATGGAGCATAGCCCCAAGGCGACAGCCTTAGTCACTAACTGGTTCACTGTCGCTAGACGGCATTCGTCGGAGCAGGGACGTGTTGGCTCAGATTCGGAGGCCAGCAAAGAATCCTTCCCCTGTTCTGTGGCTCCCCTTACAGAACCGAAAGAACGAAGCCAGCCTCGGCGGTGCGAGCCTTTATTCAAACTCCATGAATTGTACAGTAAATTTTCTTAAGTCCAAATGGAGTCCAACAGAGAATTTTTGGGGGTTTCATGTTTTTAAAGAAATGTAGGAGTAATTGATAGATATTTTCACACTGATACATATTCTACAAAAACTGGCCTGAGCAAAGAACTCTCATCATAGAAAGTTGTGATTCAGACCTTATGAGAGCATTGAGACCATTGTTAAAAATACAGTGAGTTCAAAAAGAAAAACATGGTAGTGAGGGATCACTTAAGTGAAAACGTGAAGAAAATTAGCCCCTTTGTAGAGTTCTGGGAACTATTCCTCATTTAAATGAGCGCTGAGTTTCACTGTCGGTCAGAACTTGAGTCCACTACCAGCTCTCTCTAGTGATGGCTCCTGAGGGCCAGGGGAACTCATTTTTAAAAATGCCCAAATCTTCTTGAACTTGGACGAGGCTGACCCGACAAGGTTCTGGTGAGGATGTTTGCTGGCAGGTTGGGCCTGTTTGGCCACTCTCGGGTGTGCGCCTGTGGCTCTGGGTTTGTGGGCGTGTGGGGGTGCCCGTGTGGTTGTGTGTGTGTGTAGGGAGTAGACACGCAGAACCACAGACCTTTTCCCTTTCAAAGCTCCTGGGCATGCGTGTCCCCAAGTGGCCCTCTCTCTGTGTAGCGGTCACCCTACCCTGGGGGGACTTTCAGAGTCTGAAACAATGGCCCTGAGCCTCACGGAGGCAGGGACTGGGTCTCCTTTACTCACCTGCTCTATTTCCGGCCACTGCCTGGTACAGGTGAATGAATATTTCATGATTCATTGACACACCATCTAGATTATGCAGTAGAGGCTTTAACTTTGCCTCTGACTGCATTCATGGGCGAAGACTCACTCTACTTAGTGAAAAACGCATCGTGGTCTCTAGTTTTTGAAAAGATGGAATGACTTGGAACACTGTCGGATTAAATGTGACACCAAATGGGTTGCATTATCTTGAAATACCCCCTATAGCAGTAATTCAGAAAGCCACTTTCTCTCGTGTAGTTTTAACCTTGATCTGCAAACTTAGCACTCCTGTGTCTGTTTTCCAGAAAACCAAGAAAAGACAGAGGATCAGTATGAAGAAAACTCCCACCTCAACTCCGTTCCTCATTGGATTAACAGCAATTCATTAGGTCAGTCTGGGTTCTGCCCTTGAGATTTGAGATCTGGGCTTGAAGTCATCCTGTTAGCTCTTGGACACTCCGAAGGCATGATCTAGACCTGCACTGACCCATATAGTGGCCACACGTGGCGACTGAGCTACGGTCCACATTGAGATGCGTGACAGCAACGGTAACGCACGCCAGAGCTGGAAGCCTTAGTGTGAAACAAGGAATGCAAACTGTCTCCTTCCTCATTTGAAAAATATTCGTCACTTATTGAAATGATCATTGATATCTTAGGTTCACGTAAAATTTTTCAGTTTCCCTGGGTGTGTTTTTTGTGTGTGTGTTTGTTTTTTACTTTTTTAATGTGGCCACCAGAAAATTTAACATGGCGTAATGGCCAGAGCTGGCCCAGGCCCTGCACAGAGCGAGGGGTAGAATGTAGGGAGCTGACTGCTGGGGTCACGTCTGGTATAACAAATGGGAGGTGGCGGGCGCAGGAAGTGTGTGGAGAGCAACACCAAATTTGCTCTGAACTTTGGAGTGGGAAAAGGCGTCCTGGAATTCAGGTTCTCTCTTGGGGAGTGTAGGTTACAGGTGGTCCCCCGATCCAGCCCTGGGACGGAGGGACTAGAGAGGCCCCTTAGGACATACTGACGGGGCATGTCACTTAGTCTGAGCCTCAGTGCCCTTGGAAGTCGAAAGAGCCAGTAACCCCTGTCATCCTGAGGGTCTCGGGAAAGCACTTGTTGAACAAAAGCCGTAGAAACAGTAACTCTGGGGCATCGCACCCAGGCCCAGAGGCAGCGGGCGGTAAAAGGCCAGCAAGGCTGAGGAGATGAATGGTTTGCAAAGTGGAAAGCCTCCCGTCGGAGCCCACATGTCCGCTGGGTGTGCAAAGGCCAGGCACGCAGGACTGCTCAAGTGTGGTCGGTTTGAGGGGCGGAGGGTCTGCGATTACCGCGCGCTGTGACCTAACGGCTCCGCCGTCGGTGGCTCTGTCGCAGGCTTTGGCATGGAGCAGGCGCCGTACGGAATGCAGGCGCAGAGCTACCCCAAGGGCAGTCTCCTGGACAGCCTGTGTCCGCCTGCAGCGGCGCCCGGCGCCCTCAGTTCCGAGGAGTTCCCGATGTTCCCCAAGTCCCAGCTCAGCGCGGTCGGCGTCGGCTACTGCTCCGTCGGCCAGGACTTCGCCGGCGGCAGCGTGAATCTGATGGGCAGCGCCTCTGGTAAGGAGCTTCCACGCGTTCCTCGCCGTGGGCTGTGGGTGTGGTTCCCGGGGGCCATGGCCAGACAGCCACACGAGCTGCTCCATCAGGGTCCTGTGTCCCACTCCTGCAGGAGGCCGGGACTCATCCTGTTCTGAGTGACGTTAGGTCCCAGGCGACGGGTTCACTCCGCAGGCCTGCCCCTCGTGTTTCAGGCTGCGGTGGGGCCTTAGGAAGCTGCGTAAGCAAGACAGTCCCTGCTGTTGTGAACAGGTTCCTCCACCCAGCGGGATGTTTCGGAGACAGTGCAGGAAGGAAATAGATTTCTTTTTACGGAGATGTGTATACACAGGGCGCAGATCTCAGGTTATACAACTGAGATTGAATTTTCACATATATACGCCTGTGTAAAGCCACCCAGATGGAGATGGGCTTCCAGCATCCCAGAACGCTCCCTCATCCCCTGTCCTGAGCGTCAGCAGCATCCCCACCCCAAGAGGAAACCACTGTCCTGACTTTATCATTGTAGTTTCTTCTGTTCTTGAACTTGGTATAAATGGGGTCAGACTGTGTGTTGTTTTACTTGTCATTATGGCTGAGAGCCACCTCTCTTGTCGGATGTAGCAGCCCCTGTCCTTTTCACTGCTGTATAATACTCCATCCCGTGAGGCTTCACTTGATTTCTCGGTTCTGCTGCCGAAGGAAGGTGTGGCTGTGCAGCACATGCGTAAGGAACGAGGCCCTCAGTTTAAGAGCATTAGGAAGCCTGACTGATTCTGCACCAGCAGGAAATACGGTTGAATGCAGGTGGTTGGCAGTGACACTGCCATTGAGTCCAAGACAACCTGCAGGTTTTTATTAGCGGTAGGGCTGGATGTGTCATTGTCCTGGAGGATTCAAAGTTTGTGCCTGCTTATCTTTGCCAGGGAAGCCCGGAGACCGTGACTCCCCTGAGAATGGCGGGGACAGCTTCGAGAGCTCAGACTCCCTGCTCCAGTCCTGGAACAGCCAGTCGTCGCTGCTGGAGCAGCGGGTGCCTTCCTTCGAGAGCTGCGAGGACGACTGCAGCCAGTCCCTGTGCCTCAGCAAGCCGACCATGTCTTTCAAGGATTACATCCAAGAGAGGAGCGACCCGGTGGAGCAGGGCAAACCAGTCATACCTGCGGCCGTGCTGGCCGGCTTCACAGGTGAGTGTACAGCTCCGGTGTCCCTGTCACCTCCCTGCGCCCTGCCCACGACAGCCATGTTTGTCCAGGGCGGTTCTAGTCTCAGCACATTGTATCTGCACCCCACATTTGATCCGAGGGATGTAATCCTGAATCCAGACAAGCGGTACCTCTGAATCCTAAAAAGGCCAACCTTGCAGGAATGCCCGTGGATGCAGCTCAGTGGATGGAAATCCAGGGCTGCTCCCTCGGCCATTCCCGAGAGAAGGGGAGGATCCGGGCACCGGGGCGCTGAAGGCTTAGCTCTGACTCACCCACTCCAGGAATTTCAAAGAATGTAAACTGGCTCGGGGAGGGGCAGCAAGCCAGCCTCAAATAACACAGGACTGTTTACCTTTTCTTGCTTCTAAAACCCATCTTATTTTTTACGGTTTGGGCAAGAGCTATTCTAGGCAAGGGACAAATATTAAAGTTGTTTTTAGAACCAGATTATTTCCAGCGTTTTAGCAAAAATACCGAGATTTTTTTCTTTAATTGCTTCATGTGTCCTTAAATGAGCTTTTCCCCCTATACTTTGACTATATATAGAGCCACTGGGGATTTAAAAAATCTGATCGGTTAAATGAGACTGTGTAGGCATCCACTTCTTTCTGTCATCTGAAACAAATAGCCACGAACCCGTTAAAGTACACGCCGAGTGAGTGAGAAAGGGGTGGTGTCCATACCCTGAGGGTCAGGGTCTGGTCAAATAAACAGCTGTGGCATTAGTTTCCATTTTAGTATTCGTTACCTGCCCTTCGGTGTGGTTAGCTGGGCACATTGTCCCGAGTCCTTAGGATGGATGGCCCAGCGTGGGTGGGGTATTAACCCATTTTACAGATGGGGACGTGTGCGCAGAGGGACGCAGCTCCCTGGGCACGCTGGCAGCCAGTCCCATCGGTTCCGGAACTCCTGTCCTTTGTGCCTCATAGCCAAGCCTTACCGCCCATGGCCTCTGTGTCTTGGGGCACAGCTCTTGGATGGGCGTATGATCCAGGCCAGGGCACCTGGCCTCTGAGCCACGTCTTTTCTCTAGACAGGGCTGCCACGGTGCTTCTCCGCAAGGTGGTGGTTCTAAATGCTAATCAGGAAAGGGCGCAGAGGGGGCACTTGGCACAGCGTAGGCCTCAGCACTCGGAGGTGGTTGGGCCGTGGGTGTCACTCCCAGTGCCCAGGTGGCTCTTGAGACTGAGTCTTGGATTAAGCAATCGAGCCACGTCATGTGGCTGGAAAGCTGCAGCATAGGATTCCATGAATAGCTTGCCTCACTCCGTGGTAAATGCCCCCTTCAACTGCCCCCTCCCATCCCAGCATTTGTAGAGACAAACTCTAAAAGTTGCTACAGAAGGAACAGTGACACAGCTTGAGGAATTTTGATGCCAAGAGTTAGTGGCCCTGAATTTTTCCCCAGAAAGACCGAACCCAGCCATCAAGGACCTGAGGACTCTTTTCTGAGCGTAGGAGGCATGGAGGTCTGAAGGAAGACCTCTGTCTGGTGTTCATCCTCACCCCACTAGCATTCAGGACTGTCACGGCTCCTGGAGTGGCACCTTCACGGGTGGCACCCAGCATCGGGGCTCACGTGCCTCCGCTGTTTGTTTCATTAGGATGGCCGAAGCCTTGCCATCTTTTAAATCTGTAAAAACCTGTCACCTGCCCTCTCCCCCAGGAAGCGGACCGATCCAGCTGTGGCAGTTTCTCCTGGAGCTGCTCTCCGACAAATCCTGCCAGTCGTTCATCAGCTGGACTGGCGACGGATGGGAGTTTAAGCTTGCTGACCCCGATGAGGTATGGCCCCCCCCC